GGAAAAGCTCACCGGAAGCACTTTTTTATCAAAAAAAGATGGCGGCGCCCAGCAACCAGCGGCCCGGTAAGACTTGTTCCGCGGACCGCTACCGGTCCGCGGACCAGTGGTTGGGGACCCCTGCTGTAAGCCACCCAGAGTTGCTTCAGATGGGAGGCAAATACATTTAATAAATAAAATAAATAATAATAATAATGAGTGAAACACTTTTCCTCCATCCTCTGCCAATCCAATTCTGGCTGATTTCATGAACCAAGATGGCCAGAGTTGAAGGATGTTTTGGTTACAAATGGCTGCAGGCGAAGATTAATCCCACCATATGATCTTCTGTTTATAGAATCAACAACCTTTATTTCTGCTTCTCTTGTTTATTTATTTTTTAATTGGGAAACCTAACACCTCTATAGTATTTTGAAGGTTCTTCACACAGAACAACAAGAGTTGGGAGGGACCTTGGAGGTCCTTTAGTCCAACCTCCTGCTCACGCAGAGACCCTGTAAAACTTCAGACAAACGGTTGTCCAATCTCTTCTTAAAAACTTCCAATGTTGGAGCACCCACTATCATAGATACTTTAAACCATCTTTAAAATTCAGCTGCCACCCACAACTTCTGGAGGCAAGTTGTTCTCCTGGTTAATTGTTCTAACTGTCAGGAAATTTCTCCTTAGTTCTAAGTTGCTTCTCTCCTTGATTAGTTTCCACCCATTGCTTCTTGTCCTGACTTTAAGGTGCTTTGGAAAATAAGTTGACCCCTTCTTCTTTGTGAAGCCTGCTATCATGTGACACCTAATGATTTGAATTTTGTTCCCAAGTTGCTAGCTGAGACTTCATTTGACACTCTTAAATGCGGTCAACTCAACTATCCTTAGATAAATGAAGAATTTAGTTACAGGTTAATAGGTCCTGAACTTTGGACATTTTGGTGTCAGTCCCCTATATCTATGTTATTGTGGTTATTGATTCCATGCTGGTTTCCTTTTAAAGAAACTAGTTTTCCAATTATCCCTTTGTGGAATCCAGGAGTGTATTTTGGAAGACAAGAATACCTTTTGAGGTTAGAAGACGCCCAGCTTCTCTGCCAGTATCATTGCCCAGAAAACCCCAATATTTATCCAGCACTCTTCGGGTTTAGTAACTTTTCCCTTAGCGGGGTTTAAAAACTGAAATTGCTATTTGCTTATGAGAGGTTTTTTTAATTTTTTTTTTGGTTTTTCAGTTTTAAGATGTGCAGTACAGCACCTCTCCAATTTTGGGGCTCTTTTGCAAAACGGTTACTCTCCCTTTGTGTGGGTATCTCAGTTGTGTGTTTGTGCATGCACGCACACATTCACAGAATGGTTGCTTTAAGAGACAAAGATTTGTCCCCCCCCCCCGTGTTCCCTGCTCTTTCTATCCTTTCTGCCCCTTCGTATTTCTTCACCTCCCCCTTTTTCTGAGCAAACAGAAAAGTAACTTCACCTGCCTCCAAACCCCACTGCACTGCAGCCATCCATTTCTCCAAGAGACATTACGGGACTCGGAGGATTTCTTGGGAAGAAGGATGACCAGGGAGGTAGACAATGTGCTATGCCACAGATCAGTTCTCCCTCTACTTAAAAATAACAACAACAGTTGATTTTAGATGTCCAGTGGGAGCAAGGAGACCTCTTCAGAGATGGTATTCAGCCAGTTCTGACAGGTTCTGGAAAACCGATTAGCAGAAATTTTGAGTACTTCAGAGAACCGGCAAATCCCACCTCTGACTGGCTCTGACCCCATCTCTTCTCTGCCTTCCGAGTCCCAGCTGATTGGCTGGGTCTTTTTTGGTTGCCCTGCACAGGAGAACAGAGCTGGAAAGCAGGTGAGTGGGATGGGGAGGGAATGGAGATTTTGCAGTATATCCTTCCCCTACCATGACCACCAAGCCACACCACACACCCCAAGCCATGCCCACAGAACCAGTAGTAAAAAAAATTGAATAACACCACTGGACCTCTTGGTCCTGTGGGAATGTGCAAGGCCACCAGGCTACCTCAAAACAGCATTTTGTATATTGTTTTTTTTTTTTTCTTTCAGGCTGGCAAAAACTGATTTTCCCACCCTGAAAGAAATCAGAGCCTCTTAACCTCTTAATAGTTGAAGTACCAGGGGGTGAAAATCACAACAACGTCTTTTTTCAGACAACCCAGTGCGGTTGTGTTTAGTTTTAATTTCACTTTCAAGCCAAGGTGATGGAAGGCCGCCTTTTGGAAATGTTCTCTTTGTGGAAGTATAAAGTTATGCAAGCGATCTGTAACGGGATACTCCTGAATATGCAGACAGTTTATTCTCAGAAGGAAATTCAAAGACCTCAGTGATGAAAGTCAAAGGAAAACATTAGATCGTATCAGGTCTCGAAGTCAGGTTCCAGGGAACAAATCAGAACTCTCTCTGGGTCTAAGATGGTTCTCTGAACAGTGAAGGATACTGAAGGATACTGAACAAAAAGTACATGGCTGAGAAAAGAGTCTTGGATATGTTTTTATGCTGTTGGGAGAAAAAAAAGAGAGAGAAATTGGATGTCACAGCATGCAGCTAAGCACTTAAAAGTAGTTCTTTGGATTCATTGTGAAGCTGGAAAGTTTAAAAACAGTGGAAGAAATGCGAGCCGTCCTTCAGAACCAAATAGCCATGTGTCCTTTTAAAATGGCTGGATTTAGTGTAGCAGAGAAGGCAAGGGTCATCTGTTAGGAACGGATGGATGGTTTGGTTGTGCTCAAAACCACTGGGTGCCATTTTGTGGCCTCTTATGGGTCAGCCCTTCTCTGTGGGAGAAGTCAACTTCTGGATGGCTCTTCTTTGACCCTGAGTTAACTGGGGTAGTAGCTTTTAAGTGGATATCTCTTTTGCATCTGGAGGGGAAAAAATCTGCTTCTGTTTACACTTTTCTCTTATTATCATCTAGGATTCATGTATTGTTTTTACGATGTGGCTTATAATGCATTTTATACTTGTAAACCGCTTTGGGATCCTTTCCACTGGAAGCAGTGTAAGCATGTATGAATCCCCTCCAAAGCCTGAAAAATGGATAGTGAGAGAAATCCGGGACTGATCCAGTGAAATCCAGTGAAATTGAGATCCAGTGATCCAGCTGGTTGCTCTTTATTTCATTTCTTTTCCTCAGAAAATGAGATGTGTTCTCATTTTGGGGAAAGGGGTACTCTAAATCTGAGTTATTGTCAAATTGACCAAACTTTTACATGAAAAAGTTTCCATACTAGGCTGTTTCACAAACTTTCAATATTCAGTTCAACTGTGCATTTCAGCATCAACATTATTTTTGTTGGCAGAACAGTCTGCTTTGGGAAGTTCCCCACAGAGATGTCCACGATTGCCCTAGATTGGTTAGTAAACAAGGACAAAGATGTTGCGGTAGATCTGATTAATTGTGTGCCATTTTTATTTTCAGCTGCTGCTGAAGGAAAGGGGAAAAGTGGAGAAGACTTTTTCCAGAAGGTAAGAGCTGTTGCGTATTATGGATATGCCTGCAACAACTAACAAAAATTATTCTTGGATTGAGTCCTGAACACAATGGACAGGTTCTTGTTTTTGTTAAATCCTTGGAGAACCTAGAGTAAATGGGACACATACATGACCAGCCCTTCCCATTGAGCAATAACAGAAAGCCATTGGATGGGTTATGCCTGATCTAAAATCCACGAGCCCAGCTTTCTCCTACCTTTGCATAGAGGACAGTAACTTCTCTTCATCTTCTCTGGGATAACTTGCTAAGCTTTGTACTGAGAAATGTATGTTCAGCTCCACAATATGGATTCAGATTGTTAGACCCAGCCCCCAATATACTAGGTCTCTCCATAATGGCGACTAATGACTTTGGAATGTTCTTCTGTTTAGAAAAACAATATTATGTTTCCATTATGGTTAGCTGGGTTCCTAATATATAGGAATGTGGTCCTTGTGGTTTAGGTTGGTCTGACTTTCTTTTGTGGATGCTTCTGAATTAAGGGTTGGGAGGGGGCTTGGTAGAAGGTTTTTGGGGGAAAAAATCCCTAAAATAATTGGCTTCTGCTTGAATTGAAGACATTTAGTGTTCAGAGACAAAGGTTCTTGCTTTTTGTGTTCCTTCTATGCCCTGCTATTTAAGGATGGAAGGAAAAATAATTGCAGAGATGCAGGACTTGTGGTTGGTTGACACAGTTAGGCTGAGGCATTTGTCATCTCTGTGTGAATTGTTAAATTTGCAGAAGTTTGCATTTTTTGGTAGCCTGTAAAGTATTGTGGCTGAAAGAGAAACTTTCAGAAAAGCTCTTTGGAGTAACTGCTCACAACTTACTCCTTTCTTTCTTTCTGTTGTTTTCTTCAATCTCTTAAAACGTTTTCTTGTGTAAAATAAAAAGGCGTGATTTCTGGGATAAAGGGGAAAAAAACCCCTCCCAAACCCACTCGGTTCTGAACTGGAATGCAATAGTCGGAATGATGATACTGTGGCTTTGAGCAACTGTCACCCTAACTTAACTCAACCATTTTTCTAAAGTGGTAATTTTTCTCACAAGGATCACATGCTTGGCTGGAAGTCGAGTGTCGAAATGGTGAGTGGGAGGGAGTTTGGGAATATTGTGCAATAAGAAACTAAAATGGCTACATCTTGTTTGGAAGACAAGAAGCTGAGAAATTTCATACATTTGCAGATGTTGCTAAGGAGGGTTGGGTGAATCAGCCAAGATCTTATTGGAAAGTGTGATTAAATTTGAATTGTCAGTTAATTAGGGAAAACAAACCCCTTGTCAGCAGTTTAATTCTTCAACTCAATCTGGATGCAGAGTAAACTCTTGCTTGAAGAGCAGGTGGCAGATGTGACCGGGAAGGCCTTTACACAAATCCATTTTGTGCAACAATCACACTCATTTCTAGATTGTGCCTTGATCACCTTCTCTTTGGATTGTCACAATGAGCTCTACCTGGGGCTCCGCTTGAAGATCTTTCAGAAGATGCAAACGTTTCAGATAACAGATAATCAGGGTTGGAGGGTACCTTGTAGGTCATCTAGTCCAACCCCCTGCCCAAGCAGGAGACCCTATACCATTTCTGACAGATGGGAGTCCAGTCTCTTCTTGAAAGTCTCAAGTGATGGTGCTCCCACAACTTCTGAAGGGAAACCGTCCCACTGATTAATAGTTCTAACTGTCAGGAAATTTCTCCTGAGTTCTAGGTTGCTTCTCTCCTTGATTAGTCTCCATCCATTGCTTCTGGTTCCACCTTCAAGTGACTTGGAGAATATCTTGACCCCCTCTTCTTTGTGGCAGCCCTTCAAATATTGGAACACTACTATGATATCTCCCCCTAGCCCTTCTTTTCATTAAAAGGTATGGATGCCCCATGGTACACCCAAGTAGCACAATTTTTTGTGAGTCTTACTACCTCCTAATAGGTTTCCAGTACTAATTCAAGGTACTGAATTAGTACTTAAATTAGTACTTTAAAAAACCCTTCCTGGCCTAGATTAGGGCTGGACAATTTTGTCTGTCTCTGATCATTTCAACCTATCCCACAAGTTCTAACAAGAAGGAGATTCCCTCTAGTGTCATCCGGTGGGACCCAGGCATTGTGCTTTCTTTGTTGTGGCATTTGTGTTATGGAACACCAGACCTCCTGAAATGGGATCATCTCGAAAACTGTGTTCTTCCCTGGACATTGGACCAGGGTGCTGGATGATCCCATCAGTAATGGATTTGTGCCTTAATGGCTTGCATTCTCTTATTGTTATTATATTGAATTGTTGCTGTCTCTTTTCTGTTTTTCAATCTTATATAAGCGACTAATTTCCTTTTTTCCTAAGTTTTCATAGTCTGCTATCGACATTACTTGATAGAATAAACTCACAAAGCATCTGATACAATTTAATCAGTGGAACATTTTCAGATGAAGTAACGATTTCCTAATCACTGGCTTTCCTTTTTTTAAAAAAAAAATGCCATGGAGAGATGGTTCTCTAACCGTTTAATCATAGCTTATCCTAAAACATGATACCATTGTAGTTTTTTTTTTTTTGAAAGATGCAGTAACATTAACTTGCAGATTTCTAACAAAAAGGTTGTGTGTGTCTGAGAGAGACTGTCAGCTTGTGGGAAGATGGGATGGGTAAAATCCCTGCCAATTTGAGGGGCTGCCACAGAGAGGGAGGGGGTCAAGCTATATTCCAAAACACCTGAAGGCCAGACAAAGAATAATGGATGAAAACTGGGGAAGGAGAGATTCAACGTGGAAATAAGGAGAAACTTTCTGACAGTGAGAACCATCAACCCATGGAACAGAAGTTGCCTTCAGAAGTTATGGGAGCTTCATCACTGGACATTTTTTCAAGAAGAGACTGGACTGCCATCGGTCAGAAATGGTGTAGGGCCTCCTGCTTGGGCGGGGAGGGGCTGGACTAGATGATGTACAAGGTCCCTTCCAATTCTGTTAATTTGTGCCTGTATCTGTAATTTGCTCTTGACTCCTAGTGAGTTTTTGAACCCTTGTACTTTTCTTGGCAGTGGCCGATAACTAGCATGCCATTGCCTTCTTCCAGTAATATTTTTGGGGGATTTGTAGTCTAGTCTGTTTCCCTGGCTTCCCATCTAAGAACTGGCCATGCCACTTAGCTTCTAAATCCAGACACGGAGAGTTACCGCCTGCTGAGACAGCTCTTGATAGCATCAGCAGATCTCAGTGCTGAGTGTTGGTCAAGAGACAACTTGGCTGCCTTGCCTGTGTTCCATCCATTTACCAACCTGCTGTTATCATTTCTACCTGCCATCTATCTATCAAGTATGAAAATAGCAAAGATTTTTCTATCCAAAGTCTCGCCTTTGGTATTCTTTTTTCCACTTCTCTCTCTCTTTAAAATGAGATTCCCTCCCCTCCATCTGTAGAACCCATCATAATTCCTGGTTGTGTCCTGAAAAGCTCCCAGTTTCTGGAGGTAATCTGTAACTCCAGCAAGAACATCAGAAAAACCAAGGATAGAACTGTGTATATCCTGGGGGATTACTATATACGCATTTGTTAAAATTTGGGGAGGAGTTCCCAAACAATACATGGGACAAAAATCTTGATTGTTTCCTTTTCTCATTTGGAAACTGAGTGGGTTAGAATAGCAGAAGCGTGCTGCTTGGAACCCATTCACACTAGCCTGAATCACTAGCTTTTCAACACTGCAGGGGTGCCAGAGTAAGTCTTACAGAACATGCTGAGTAATGCGATACACACCCACTACTAAGCTGCTTAGGATAATGATTTTTCTAGATCGCTCTCTGGGAAGCAAGCAAGCGGTTCCTAAGTTCTGTTCATTAGCCTTTCCATAGTTAACTTAAAGGTTAATCTTGTGTTCACGTACTAAACCTGTTCTTGTGCCAGATTTAGTCTGCATAAAATTGTGAATGTGATACTCTTTTGGGGGATCAGGATACCACCACGTTGTCCATTCCAATCCTGTCGAGAAGGAATGCATCAACACTGGTCTACTTTTGACTTTTAACCATAAGTAGCCTCAAGCTTCTACCTTGACCCTACCTACACCTGGACCACTTTTCTAATATTCAAGATTCTTTTTTTGATTTTGCAAAGGGGTTCAAATTTCCAAACTTGCTCGTTCACAGTTCTGTCAAGCAGAGATGATTGTTCCTTTTGAGACAGTCCCAAATATGGAATTTGGGAGACACATAATAGTTCCATCTTCTGAAGATACATAGATAGCTGTTGTTCAGTTGCTAAGTTGTGTTTGACTCTTCATGACCCCATGGACCACAGGATGCTAGATCCCCTGTTCTCTGCTGTCTCCCGGAGTTTTCCCAAATTCATGTTCATCACGTCGATGACACTGTCTAACCATCTCATCCTCTGCCATCCCTTCTCCTTGTATCTTCAGTCTTGCCCAACATCAGGGTCTTCTCCAAGGAGACCTCTCTTCTCATTTGGTGGCCAAAGAATTTGAGCTTCTGCTTCAGTCTCTGTCCTTCCAAGGGATAGCCAAGTTTTATTTCCTTTAGGATTGACTGATTGGATAACACAATGTGAAAGCATCAATTCTTCGATGCTCAGCCTTCCTTATGGCCCAACTCTCACAGCCATACATTACTATTGGTTTCAGGAACTGGCTAGTCTAGTGAAGAGAAGGACCAGGGGTGACATGATAGCAGTCTTCTAATATTTGAGGGGTTGCCACAAAGAGGAAGGGGGTCAAGCTGTTTTCCAAAGCACCTGTAGGCCAGAAAAGGAATAATGGATGGAAACTGAACAAGGAAAGATTTAAACTGGAAATACGGAGAAATTATCTGACAGTGAGAACAATCAACAAATGGAACAGAAGTTACCTTCAGTAGCTGTGAGAGCTTCACCATTGGAAGAGCTTTCAAGAAGAGATTGGATTGCCATTTGTCAAAAATGGTATAGGGTCTCCCACTTGGCCAGGGAGTTGGACTAGATGACCTACAAGGTCTTTTCCAACTCTGATTATCTGTTATCTATTATCTATTGGGAAAACCATAACTTTGACTGTACGGGCCATTGTCTCTGCTGTCAACTCATAGAATATTTCTATGGTCTTTTTAGAGTTGCCAGCAGAAAGGGAGAGGGGAGCAGTGCAACAGCTTACAAAACCAAAGGTGCATTCCACAAATGTTTTCAAAGATAGTAACTAGGTGACCGAAGTTTCTGCCCCGCAAAATTCTAACTGGAGAGCATGATTTGATGGCTCTTGGCTATGGAGGTGTCCCATTGGAGAATATGAATTATGATACACCCAGGGGGTGGAGGGAAAACCAGTGTCAAGGGTGACAATGAATGATGTGTCTCAGAGTTGGCTACACCCAGGCAGTGCCAACATGTTACCTCCCAATAAATCCTTCTGAAGTTTTGGAAGTATAGCTCGAGACTCATGATTTAAATGGGGGTAACTGCTGGAATCCTGACTTCTGCTTTTTAATACTTTGCCTAGGTTTGCCATAACTTTCCCCCCCCTCCCCAACAAATAGGTCGGTCCAACTGATTTAGCATTCAGACTTCATATTGCTACAGTTCTTATTTCACATCTGTGTTTGGGGCTCTTTAGGAATAGATGTATGTCATGATAGAACTGCCTTGTTTGGAAGTTGCCTCTCAGCTGCAATTTATTACCTTGTGGCTGCTGAAACCCATTCAAAGCAAAGAGCATTGAGCCCTGGCTGACATTTCTCACTTTTTCCACATGGCACCATCCTCTGGAAATAGCGGCTTTCAGGAACTTTATTGATACAGGCAATAGAAAGAAGTATAAATATATTTTGGTGTGTGTATTTGTCTTTCAGATTTTTCCTGTAAGACATCGGCAAAGGATACCGTTTCTTTCATCGTAATTATAGCCAGGATTTCTTGAAACAGCAGTATTTGAAACTAGATTGTGCATTCTGACTTCAGTTCAGAGAATGGAGGATTATTTTCTTACCTAAAATAGGAGTGGATGCACTCACGTTGTTTACTGTTTCAGAGGTGTTTTACAAGAAAGTAAACATAGGGTGTTATGAATGCAGAATGCTAAAGCAAGGGTCTCCAACCTTGGCCACTTTAAGCCTGGTGAACTTCAACTCCCAGAATTCCCCAGCCAGCAAAGCATTCTGATCCAGGCCTCGTCCAAATTAAGGAAACACAAACTTGTGTGTAAAATCAAATCTATTTTAATGCAACGTTGGGAATTTCATGCATTCCCAGCCAAAACTCATTAGACACAATTCTCTAAGATAAGCTCATGCCTTTCAGGGTTGTAGAAGGCTGCCAAGAAACAGAAGTCCCATTACTTAGAAGTTCTAGGAATCAGAATCTAATGAACTTCTTTGCTTCCTGCAAAGAGCACGTCACCGAGGGCTGACTTTTATCCCTAATGGGAGGGGCAATCACCTTCTAGCCTTACTCCCGAATCACCCCTTCTGCTTCAGCTGCTCTCGCCTTCTAGAAGCTCTGTGCACATGCGCACTGGAAACAGGCTCCCCGGAGTCCTCTGCCTCTCTGCTGCCAGATTCCAAAGGCTCTGAAGGCAGCACCCCACTCCCAGATGGTCCTGGCTCCATCCCTGCATCAGATGCAAGACCCTCGTCCAATCCTCACCAGACTCCCTCCCTTTCATCCTCACTGTCCGATACCTTGCCGTCCGCGCCGGCTGCCGGTGAGCCACAGCACAAAGCTGGGGAAATTCTGGGAGAATTCTGGGAGTTGAAGTCCGCCAGACTTAAAATGACCAAGATTGGAGACCCCTGTGCTAAAGTATAATGCAGTGATTAACTAGAAAGGAGGTAGATCCAGGATAGCGATTCATGCAGAGATTCAACGAGACATGCTTAAAGAATCATTCTATGCTGCATTTCTTACGTTGAAGTATTCAGATTAGTAATTTGAATATTCTTGAGGTTTGGGATTCTCTATGCTTTTCATGTTTTAATCTTATGGTGACAGTGGGAGCAGGGAGGGTACAGATAGTCCTTAATTTAGTGACCAACTGCATGAAGACAAAAACCTTGTTGGGTTGTATTTGTCAGTTGTTCATCTGCCCACCTATCAAGATCAGGGCCTTGTCCCAATATTTGAGAGGCTGCCATAAGGAAGAAGGGACATCTATTCTCCAAAGTGCCCAAAGGCAGGACAAGAAACACTGGATGGAAACTAATCAAGGAGAGAAGCATCTAGAACTAAGGAGACATTTCCTGACAGCGAGAAGAATTATCCAGTGGAAGGTCTTGCCTTCAGAAGTTATGGGCGCTTCATCACTGGAGGCTTTTAAGAAGAGAAGACAACCATTCTCCAGGGGCAAAATAAGCCTGCCCAGTTACTGATTAATTTTGAGTAACTTTAAGAAAATGCTGGCAAAAAAAATAGGGCATGCAAATTCAGGAAAGTATGGAAGGCTAATAGGGAACAGTCAGCTAAAAGCTAAGTTTTTAAATGTATTGATATTGTGTTTCATTTAAAATGCTAGAATCCATCAGGTTCATTCCCACTGGAGTTAAATCAGACTTGTCTTCTGAAACCTATTTCTTGGTATTTTAATGCAACTTTGCAGCAGTTCAGAATTGGTACAAATTCTCCTTTTTTCTTGTCTGATAGAAAACAGCAGATGTGTTTTAAATTTAAGCCAACGTTTCTTGTCCTTTGACAGATTATGGAGGAAACGAACACCCAGATTGCTTGGCCCTCTAAACTGAAGATTGGTGCAAAATCCAAGAAAGGTAAGCGTTGCTTTTTTTGTTGTGATTTGAAGAAACCCTCATGAATGCAGCTGAATCTTGGGCTCCAAATTGATCTGATAGTAACTCTTGAAAACTTATGCTATATTCATGTACCTTCACCTGTTTCAAGATGTAAACTTCAATCTCAGAGGCTTTGTGCAAACTCAGATACTGTTTCTTCATGGATTGTGGGTATATGGGAAAATGTGTACTGCGGTTGTGCATCAATTCATAAAAATGGCTCAGTGTTTCCATCCCCGAGGGAGTAAATTGATCTCTAAATATGGGTAGTCCTCAGCTTACAAATTTGTTTAGTGATCATTCAAAGTTATAATGGCAGTGAAAAAAATGACTTATGACCATTTGTCACACTTACAACCATTTGTTGTGGCCTGCCAGCGGCCAGCGGAGCTGGCAGCAGACTCAGACAGTGAGGAGGTGGGGGAGGAACATGGGTCAGTCCTGGAAATCTGGGGAAGGCAGTGCTCTGCGTTGGAGGCAGAGATGGGGCCAGGGCTGTCCGACAGTTATCAGCTGCCTTCAGGGTCGGAGATCAGTGGGGCAGAAGAACAGCTGGAGCCTGTTCTCGATGTGTGCATGCACAGAGCTGTCAAGAGAAGGGAACAGTTAAGGAACAAGGATCAACTTGGGAGTAAAGGCACAGGTGGACGGTGAATGGTCCCCTCCCATAGGGAATAAAGAGGAGTGAAAGGGGAGAGGTGTTTGCAGGAGACAGTTAGTTCATTTACTTAGTGTGAAGATTTGTTCGTGACTCTCAGAGACTCCCTGCTGAGTATTTCCTTGGACAGCGTTGCACTTGGAAGCTATCGGCCTGGCAACTCTCCAAGCCTGATAAGGTCTGTGGTTGCAATTCACCCTTGAAAGAGTGTTTGCTGGGACTTTGCTGAATGTGAATGATAGGAATTCACATTAGTCAAATAAAAAGTGGTTTTGTTGGGAAGAGGAGTCTGCTTTGTGATTTTGTGAAGCCTGGGTCAGAACACCATTGTAGCATCCCTGTGTCTCACTTAGCAACAGATGTTTTGGGCTGAGTTGCAGTCTTAAGTTGAGAACTACAATGTATACTGAAAAGCTGTTAATATTATCAGTATGTACTGATTCTTAGTTAGATGTCAAAAAACAAAATGTCCTCATGTCACCTTCGGCGTTCAGTCGATGGAGGACACCAAGCTTCCTGGAGAAGGAGCAAGTTGGCTTTGAGGTCCATTGAAACAGCTTCTTCCTGAATCAGAGTTACATGAGGAATACACTTCCAGCTGTGTTCAGACCATGTTTCCAAGGGCAGGGTCAGGGGAGGAACTCCACATCTGGGTTTCTAGTTATTTAGCAGCAGGGTGGTACAGGTGTCATAGGTGGTTCTGAATATTGAAAAATGAAGATTATCCCTTTGGTTTGCAATCTCTTGAGCTGCATTACACTTGCAGAAGAGACCATGTTCTCTCTTAGAGACTTTTTTCTCTCCCTAAAGCTAAATCAGAGGGGGTATTCAGCAGGTTCTGACCAGTTCTGGAGAACCAGTAGTGGAAAATTTTGAGTAGTTCGGAGAACCGGTAAATCCCACCTCTGACTGGCCCCACCCCCATCTCTTCTCTGCCTCCCATTGAGTCCCAGCTGATCGGCTGGGTCTTCTTTGGTTGCCCTGCACAGGAGAACAGAGCTAGAAAGCAGGTTAGTGGGGTGGGGAGGGAATGGAGATTTTGCAGTATCCTTCCCCCAGGAGTGGATTGGGAATGGAGATTTTAGAATATCCTTCCCCTGCCATGCCCACCAAGTCACACCCACCAAGCCATGGCCCACATAATTTTTGAATCCCATCACTGGTTAAATGTTTGTTTGTCTAAAAGGGAAAGGTTTCCCCTGTCACGTTGTGTCAAGCAATTGATTTTTCTTTGGGGCTTGGGCTTGAATAAAAACAGCTGCTTTCTTTTTTTACTTTAAATCTGACTAAAGTATCAATATTGGAAATAAACAAGTGTGGAGTTCTTTTTTAAAAAAATGTGGGCAAGGTGAACTTGGGCAGGAATTTTAAATAATCAAAACGCTCCCCACAAGAGTTGCTTGCTTTTTAAATAATGCAAAAGTGACGCGAGATTAAAAATCAAATAGTTGGATCGATATCGGTACTTAGATGAAGGGAGTGGGCAATGGCAAAACACTTGTGAAAAACCTTGCCCAGAAAACTGCAAGGCACTCTGTCCAGGCAGACACGATTGAACAGAAGGAATCCATAAATGAATATGTTTCAAGTTTTTTAGACATAATTATTTCTATCAAACGTTCAATGTACCAGAAATTCAGATTAGCTGAACGTAGAATTGGAGCACTAAAACAAGTGTGAAAGACATTATGATAAAAATCAATGCAGAACAGATGGAATTTTTTTTTTAAAAAAAAAAAGATCTACCACGTCAGCAGAACTCTGTGTGTGTGTGTGTGTGTGTGTGTGTGTGTGTCCTAAGTCAGGAGGCTTTATTAAGTCCATTTTCTTCAACATGTTCTTCAAACATCAGCAAGATGGTCCTTTGAAGGAGATACAGGATGAAAGGCCAGCTCCACGTGAAATGATCTGGATATTGGCATCTCTAAGGGCTGGAATTGTCTGCTGTGTTGGCAGTAGGATTTGGAACAGTCCCACATAGGGCTGTGTTAAAAGAAAAGCTCGTTCTGCTGTTACTTTGATTCATTTTTGGTGAGAAAGAGCTACTTGCAAACATTTTACGCTTGGAATGTAAAGGCTCAATTTGGTTTTGAAATTATTGGTGCGGATTTTCCATACCATAAGCGCATGGTTAACTGAAGCGTACAAAATATTAGAAAGGAATCATCGTAAAGATTTTGACTTATGAGGTGTTTTCATGTGATCATCATTAAACAGTGTTTGGATTTATGCATATTGGATGGAAAAAAACTGAAAAGAGCTTTAATAGATAATCAGAGTTGGAAGGGACCTTGTAGGTCATCTAGTCCACCCCCCCGCCCAAGCGGGAGACCTTATACCATTTCTGACAAATGGCAGTCCAATCTCTTCTTGAAGGTCTCAACTGATGGTGCTCCCACAACTTCCGAGGGCAACTTCTGTTCCATTGGTTGATTGTTCTCACTGTCAGAAAGTTTCTCCTTATTTCCAGGTTAAATCTCTCCTTGTTCAGTTTCCATCCATTGTTCCTTGTCTGGCCTTCAGGTGCTTTAGAGAATAGCTTGACCCCTTCCTCCTCCCTGTGGCAGCCCCTCAAATATTGGAAGACGGCTATCATGTCTCCCCTGGTCCTTCTCTTTATTAGACTAGCCAAGCCCAGTTCCTGTAACCGTTCTTCATATGTTTTAGTCTCCAGTCCCCTAATCATCCTGGTTGCTCTTCTCTGTACTTTTTCTAGAGTCTCAACATCTTTTTTATAGTGTGGTGACCAAAACTGGATGCAGTACTCTAGGTGTGGTCTTACTAAGGCTTTACAGAATGGTATTAGTACCTCACTTGATCTCGATTGTATCCCTGTTAATACAACTTAGGATTGCATTGGCTTTTTTGGCTGCTGCTGCACACTGCTGGCTCCTATTTAGCTGGTTGTCCACTAAGACTCCAACATCCCTTTCACAGTTACTGCTATTGAGCCTGGTTTCACTTAGTCTATATGCGTCCTTAGGGTTTTTCTTGCCTAAGTGTAGGACTTTACTTTTCTTTACATTGAATTTCATTTTGTTAGATAGGGCCCAGTGTTTTAGTCTGTCAAGATCCATTTATCCAGCTCTTTGTGAGATAATAAAGGCAGACATCTCCTTGAACTCAATTGGTTGCTTTATTTTCTTGTTGCCAAGATTTTACACCAGGGGGGTGGTTACCCCAACACGTAGGTCCTTCTGTTTTTATCCCTTGCATTGATTTTAAGCTTTTTATCCCTTCCCTGCTTTTGGCATCAACAACCAACACAATAAACCACCTTTGGATAATGCCTGAAGAAATGATGCTTTTGAAAATCACGGTATTGTGTTGTTGTGACTAAAATGTCAGCATTTTAACATCTTGTACAGGTTAGGGTTGCGACCTGTTCAAAGTTAGGATGGCACTTTAAAAAGTGACTTAACAACCACCTCGGTGTCTGCATGGCTGTGTGATCAAAATTTGGGCGCTTGGCAGCATCCTGCGGTTTTTCAGAAGATCATTCTTGATTTTTCAATGTCAAAAGCTTTGTCCACCGAGAAGATTAGTTTCAAGAAGCCCACTCTTGGAATATTGCATCCAATTTTTGTTGCCATAATATAAAAAAAGATGTTGAGATTCTGGAAAGAGTGCAGAGAAGAGCAACAAAGAGGATTAGGAGGATGGGAGGCTAAAGCACATGAAGAACAGTTGCAGGGACTGGGTATCGCCAGTCTAGAGAAAAGACGGACTAGGGGAGGCATGAGAGCTGTGTTCCAACATCTGAGGGGCTCCTACAAAGATGGAGGGGGGGTCAAGACTATTTTTCAAAGCACCAGAAGGCAGGAAAAGAAGCAATGGATGCATCTAGCTAAGGAGAGAACCAAGGAAAAATTTGAACTAAGGAGAAATGTCTTGACAGTTAGAACAATTAACTAGTGGAACAATTTAAATCACCACCATGAGCAACACATCATCATAGTCACAGTCACAACCATTATTGCAGTAATAATATCAATAAAGTAACTAGCAACAACGATAAAAAGGAAATCAGTGGAAAGGCAGGAAAAAAAACGGAGAAAAATTGGAATAACTTACTGTAGCTGAAGATCAAAAAAATCTCACTGTAAAAAAACAAAAATAAAAATAGCCCAGATTAGAAAAACGGGAGGTGTAAAAAGGTCAAAGTCAATAATGATTTTTTTTTGTTTTTCTCTTTCTGTCCTTTCCCCCCCCCCCCCCCCCTTTCAAACTCTCATTCCAGCCACGGTTATGGCAAAACCTGGCAGAGGAGAGTTCCTGGCAGAAGTTGTAGGTGCCCCAACACTGTAGGTTTTCGAGAAGA